TCGTTATGAGGCAAACATTTTTGCTATACAAATGATTTCATGACGATAATGTTTGTAAAGAAAGAGCGTTATCAAATTTTTATTTTCTGGGGAGTATTGATTGGCTGGGGGTATTCCGTACATTTGATTTTTAAGGGTTTAAATATTCTGAAATAACGTTCCAACGCATCTAAAAATTATTATTCAACTCATTTGAACCAGATTTTACTCACCTTAAGCTTTAGTATAATACAGTTTTATAGGTTTTTGTAAAAATAGTTTTTACTACTAAAAAATGAAGAGCGCCCATTGGAATAATATAGACTTTGAAGTGGAGGGCAAGTTGAGGTTAATTATGCAAATCGATACTTTTTGAAAAAATTGCTAGGTTTTGTACTGTTTTAAGCTCTGTTTCCTGGACTATTAGTATAGTAATAGAAAATTCCTAGAAACTTTTCTTAAAGATATTAGAAATCGGTTTAGAAAAAATCTTGTTCAACACTTAGTAATTCCAGGAATTTTGTTAGAAACTTTTTTGCAAATGTCCTACTACCGCTTAGATTAGGTTTCGTTTGTTCCATTGCTCAGAAAAACCTAGTAAAAGGGAATAATAAAACCGTGCAATATTTAAGAATAGCTCGAAATGCTTTGGAATATCCGAGAAATTCTATGTAATGTCGGAAATAATTCGGAATAACTGTCGAATTGTAGAGTACCCACTCAAAATATTGGGATCATCCCTCGGATTTTCGAAAATGTAGATCTAGGTACAGTAAATTGTCAGGGTGAAATATCGGTTACTTATTCTTGTATGGATATCGCTTTTTTAGTAACAGTTAGATTGGGGGAGGGGGGTAGATAGATTTAGTCTCCGTCCTCATCCTCCATTAAACTTGCTTTGATTTAGCAATAGATTTGCATATGTAATATGATGTTAGCAGCACTTCATCGGTAAACTACCCCCCGCCTTTAATGGTACAACTCTGCTTTGAATACACAAATTTTGTTTGCCTTAATTTTGGATAACAGTTTATTTTTCATATTGCCGGATATAATTAGGACCACAATGAATTAGTAATCCCTAATCTATCCTAAGTCATAAACGTAAAACCAGGGGGTCTGGGGAGTACTCCAGTACAACAAAATTCATTGCCTCTTTCCCTACAATCATCATTTGATCCATGAGATCATTAGTATACTCATAGAAATAAACTCTACTACCCGGTATACTGGGGGATATTCCATACCCTCTCGACCCTCGTTAGCATTCTCGCCCAAAAACCATCTCTTTGACCTCTTCCATTCCAGGTTTCGGTAAAAAGTCATCGAACGTAGTACCGGGGAGTCTGGAATACCCCTAAGTATACGAAGACGTTATTTATATGAGTATAAGAATGAAGTCATAGTAATAATGATGATTGTAGGGAAAGAGCCATTGGATTTTCCTTTTACCGGGGAGTATTCCATATCCCCTTGACCGCCCAGTGTGGCATTCTCCCCCAAAAATCGTCTACCTGATCACTCTCGTCCAAGGTTTCGGTTAAACGTCATCGAACGTAGCAACGGGGGTCTGGGGTGATTCCAATACCCCCCAGTATACGAACATTTTGCTTATATGAGTATACGAATGATGTCGTGGTGATAATGATGACGGTAATTAAATTTTCCTTTTACTGGGGAGTGTTCCCCCCGCACCCCCTGGTATTGCATTCTCCCCCAGAACCGTATGTCTGATTATAGGTTTCGGTAAAACGTCATCGAACGTAGAACCGTACCCCCCACTATACGAAGACTATGTATATGAGTATACGAATTACGTATCTTCATGGAGGTAATGATGATTGTAGGGAAATAGTCATTGAATTTACCTTTTACTGACAGACCTCACGGTGTTGCATTCTCACCCAAAACTGTATGCTTGATCACTCTCATTCCAGGTGTCGGTAAAACGTCATCAAACGTAGTACCCGGGGGTCTGAGGAGTAGGGAATGCCCCCCCCCCCAAGTATTCGAAGATTTTATTTATATTTCGTCCCCATTTGGACAGTACATTATTATAATTGATGTTTCGCCCTCGTTTCATTATGTGTATGCTTTTAAGTTTTTGTTTTTGTTTTAAGAAGGTATTTGTTTCTAATTATACGCCCTTCTCCTTGCGCTGTTCGTTTTTGGTGCTCCACTGTATACAAATACGCGATAATTACTAACCTAAATGTAATGCTATTTGGTATGGTTGGAAAGCATTTTTTCAGAGCTTTCCAACGACGTATCACACATGGGGGGTCACTATTTAAGATTTAAAAGTTGGGGTGGCTGGGGCGCAGGGGGTTGGAGGGGGTGCGTCGCCAACTATGTCATTGTGATTCCCCCTCCGAATTACCGAAACGGATTTTGATTTTTTTAAATACCTCGTTTATTTACTAAGATATGGGGGGTGGTAAGTTTTCAAATTGTCACCCTGTATATGTTTTAGGCATACCGAACAGAAAAATAACGGGCCGGATTTTTGAAAAAAAATTTTGGAGCGCCGTAACGGCATCGGACTTTTTTTTCAAATAGCAACCTAAAATTTTTATTCTATTATTTGGAAGACCTTATTTTTTGTTTAAGCTAGGAAGCTGTTCTGTCAAGAATTTGGCACCTGGTTTTTACTGCTGTCTGTTGATTTATTAGGCAAGGGGTTGTTGGTCTTAGTATTTTCCATGTGTATGTATTGTTTGTAGTAAATTTTCTATATCACCCTTTTACACCGTTTCTTTTTTATTTTTTAAATTTAATAAATATTTAATTTGGTAATTATTATTACATACCTACTGTGCAATTGGATAGCATCTTTTATAGGCTTTGCAACGATATATTACAAGTAGGGATTGGGGCAGGTGGTGCCTTAAGAGTTGATGTGGATGAATTCTCTCTTACCTTATCTCATTTTAGTTCCCATTTTCTACCCTAGAAACACTTTTGAGTATTTGCAAGTTTATTTGTAGGTTTTAAATTGTGACGCTGCATATTAATAGTTCTAGTCTAGAGACACTCTCCTTTCAAGTTCTGAATAAGTAATTCCCAAATTTTTGTCTCTTATTTTCTTCTCAAGTTCCCAAGTTCTTTTCATGTTCCACTCAAGCTTTCCTTTTTCAGGTTTTTCCTACACTTTTTCGGAGTTCCCATCAAATTCTTCGGGCCGACTTCTCAATTTCTCTGTAAGCTACATCAATCTCATGCTCCTTATATTTCCACTCAGCCGACCCTAAAATTGTTCCTAATCGTTCGTGGTAGATTCAACCAGTTTTCCTCATATTTCACTAACTGTACTTTCACATTGACTATTGAGTTTTCCAGCTCCTTATCCTTAGTTTCTAAATTATTCTCAATTTGTCCCTATGCTCATTCCAAGTTTCTTAAAGTTATCCTAGAATACTTGTCAATTTCTCAGATTAGCTCAATTTATTTTTAACTTGGATCTGCACATCTGTAAACTACCCCCACCTTTAACGGTGCAACTTTGCTTTGAATGCACACATTTTGTTTGACGCAGTTTTGGATAACAAACAAGCAAGAGCAACAAATAATTATTATTCCCTAATCTACCTTATTCCAAGTCAAAGTCAAAGTTCAGTTCAAACCATTATACAAGCTCACCTTTCGGTTATAAACAGTGGATTTTTATTAGATGCCCCCCATAAAGGGTTGATAAATTTATGAGTAATAGATGTCAGGGGCGGATTACTCTCACGATTTTTATTCATAGGATGGGGGTAGTGCAAATTGTATCTATCGATATGTCACTGTATGGTGTTCATATTTTTGCATATTTATTACTGGTAATATGCAAATCTGTAGCTGCAACTTCACACGATTAACCAATAATTATGTAAATTCGTAAAGGGATCTGAGATCTTGTAACAAATTCACAAAAACTGGCTTAAAACGTTAACGCTGTGTATTAACGAACGCAAAATAGTATAAAAATCGGCCAACCGACAATAAAGAACCTCTCAAAACGCTGTCGTGCTCTCGTATATTAAAAATGAAACCTCATTTTTAATAACGGTTGATGACAGCGCAGTCTGAAGTACCTCGTTGTGATTCTAAAGTTGGAAAATTGTTAATATCACTTTTAAAGCTAGGAAAAAATGCGAAATGTAACGAATTTATTACTAGGAATTAAAAACGGGACAGTTAGGGGCGCATTGATTAAGCTATAGAATGTTTAAGGCGAGCATCCACATAAGCAACCGGTTGTATGCAACCAGTTGCGTGAAACAGGTTTCATGAAACCAATGCAACCTATTTAGAGGTTATTTTAGCAAAACTCGAGTAAAACTACTAAAAAATGCACCGATTAACCACTCCGGTACATTGATGGCACGGAATTGGTCAATGCACGATAGACATGTTTGATTTCATGAGACAAGTTTCGTATAGATAGCGTCAAATATAGGTTGCAGTCGCGCAAGTGGAAGCACATACGTGTCTCAATAGGTAAAGTTGCGTTCGCAACTTGCTGCATGGTTGGACGCAACTGGTTTCATTGCGTAAAGTCGCCAAAGCCTCAAACTTTAAATTTCAATGTTAAAGCTTGAACCTAAAATCGCAAGTTTGAGGCATATGACTCGTAAGCTTCAAATCCTACAAGGCCCCAAACGTACACTTCCCTGTTCAAATGGAATATTTTATAGGCACCATTTTCTAAACAAATCACAACGAAAGCCTAAAATTCTTGCATGCTGTGTTTGAAAAAGTGCAACCCCTAGCATTTTCGTCTTCAGATAACTTCATAAATCATTACAACTTAAACGAAACCAAACAAGAACAGAATTGTGTGAAAGTGACATCGCTTTCATAGGTAAGAGAGCGGACTTGCGGTTGTCTCCGAATTAAGTTGATTAAATTAGAAATGATTTACAAATTCATGTGGTTGGTTATAAAAGTCCTCTCATAATAACTTTCCCGGTAGCATCTCTCTCATGTAATTACGTGTAGTTGTTAGTGGCTTTAATAGAGGTAGAAGTGCACGACACTGATAAGAGAAAGGTTTGAAGAGTGTGTCTCTTTCAGCCAGATTGAGGCGGCGGCTTCCTTAGGGATGGTCGGCGGTCCACGAGTACTTATTCCCAGGTATGTGTTTGCTTGTTGTTGTGCTGTATATATTTATAACACTCACGTAGCTCGCGTAGTCTCTTTTTTTTTGGAAAGATAAAATAAGTGCCCCCACTCTCTTTCTCTGTTAGCCGTAGCCATCCCCCCCACCATTCGAACTTAGTTTGTAATGTTATCTTATGTTGTCTTATAGGGGCTTCGGATTTATCACCTTCGCCGACCCAGCTAGCGTAGATAAGGTATTAGCTCAAGGCACTCACGAGCTAGATGGTAAAAAGGTAGGCTAGTTTTTTTATTCCTTTAGAAACTCTTTTTGTAGAGTCTATCTATGAACGTGTCCGTTCCAAATACCATCGAGAGCCTTGATTTAACGCGCGGTTCTTTTGTGCCATTTAGTTAATTGCAAATGAAACGATTAAAATAATGAAGGAAAAAGTGCCATTTAAACAGATCGTATGTGTTGTAGTTTTATTGCTAGAGCTTTTAAGGTTGTGGTGGTAGAATAGTGATGTTGTCGTTGTGAGTAAACCACAGTGGAGAATGTGAAAGTAGATCGAGAAATGAAGCTTTTCGATTGCATGCGATAATTGCTTTACTTCAATTGCCGAGTGCCATATATTCTAAGCAAAAAAATAATTGTAACTTCATGATTCGGGAAAAATCCTCAAATTTTCGCACTTGATAAAGGTTTCAATGGCGATGTGTCCTGACCGAGAGGAAACTGTGGAAAAGAGGAGAACTTTCGTGTAAAATTTTGTAAGAAGAGGAAAGCGTGGAGGGAAATAGTTGCGTTTAGTGTTTCAATTGAAGTAGTCTAATTTACTTTTGAGTGCACAATCATTGGTAAACATATCCCCCCCCCCTCCAACATTTTTTTGGCTTACTAGCTTACTCAACACCGTGATTAGATGAAGCTAAAATGGAAAATGGTCCTAGATATTTGCTAATGTGCTGAATTTCACACAAGGAGAATCTAATCAAAATACTCGTATATAAAGTGCGTAAATTTTAACTCTGCAACAGCATTAAAAAATTTCAAGTTGATGACAATTGTTAATGAACTTTACACCAGAAAAAGAACTGCCCCTGTTTTAGTTGTAGAAATGAAGTTAGTATATTTGAGCATGTTATATAGAAGAAAATACAATAAAATAAGTGCCGGTAATTTAGCTGGAGAATTTGAAATTCCACAAATGCCCGTATTGATTTCGGCATTTCACAGCAAATAAGTAAAATTCCAGAAACTGAAAAATCACTATCAGTCAAATCTGCTATAAATTAATCGGCCGAGTACGTATCTAAAATAGTTAAAATAATGTTCAGAGTTAAAATTAACGCACTGTATATTATATAATCAGAACTTCAATCGCCATTCATGCCGTTCGCTCAACCTTTGTGAGGGGACAAAATCGTATTCGGCAAGTGTACAGGAAAAACCTTTGGCAAGAAACTGAAAAATTCGTAATAACAAAGGAACTTGGAACTGGAATAATGAAGCGGTAGTCAACTATAACTAATAATGAGCACTTACTAGTTACCGCCATTTTTCATCTTCTTATTCGATCTGATATAACTTTATTTGGGTCGATTTTAGAGGAAAGCTTTTTTTTTGGAGATCGATATAATGTGTCCATGTTTTACTGTGGCGTGGTGATTTTTTTGGGTCCACAGCTCAAAATTTATTGGAAGGTGTCTTTTTGCGGTTGGCCTACTACAATTTCTACCACGTTAGTAAGGGAGGTATTGCATTGGGGAAAAAAAACCCCCCCCCCCCCCGCTTTTTTTATGGAAATACACGTTTTGAAACATCAGGAATCTGAATCAAACAAAATCTCGATGATGTCTGTCTGTCTGTACTCTGATTTCCGGCTAAACGGCTGAACCGATTGGAACCAAATCTTGTACACAGATTCATAGGCATAAAAGGGCAGAATCGCTCATGCGAATCTGTGCTAGCCACAGCAAATTTTTTTTCGCTCCATTTCAGAGGCGGGGCTTTGTTTGTTTGTTATTATTGTGATTTTTAAGCCAAAATGTACTAGACCGATTGAAAACTTGTTGTCGTCGGATTTTAGAGACACGACTTTGTTTCAGAAATCGGCATGGTCATTTTTTGTGGGCATCTGCGACAATTTTGTATGCACGATATTAGAGGAAAGTCGACGCTTTTTTTGACCTTCCAAGCTTCTCTTTGTACCTCATACTCCATCATCCCTAATCATGACATTAAGCTGAAGCAAGCTGAAGATAAGCTCGGTTTTCATGGTTTTGTCTATCAGACGATGTTCAAGTTTCAAAAATCTTCGTCGTCTTTCATACCTTTGGTTGCCCAGCTTTAATTGTACCAGGAATGCTCCGTTGTTGGCTAGAATCGAATGTACACGTCATGCCCCGAATAAAAAAATAAGGATTTCAAGTTGTTCCACAAGCCTTCATTTGAGATTTTCTTTTAGGGCCGTGGCTTGAATTTTTCTTGCCTTATTTTACCCTCAAATATTCAGCTGAGAATACTTTCACACTTTAAATTTTAAATCTTTTGGGCGGTTCAATTTGAAAGTATATCTTGTCCAAATTTTGTCCCAGGTTTCAAAATTCTTGTTGGAATTTAAAGATACGAAGATTATTCAGGTTTCACTGAGGAATTTCCTGTCAGAATTTGTCCTAAATTTAAGCTTCAAGTTCGGGTTTGAAGCTACCTCACTTTTCTAAACCTACTATGATTTTGGTTCTACGCTCCCACTTGAGTAAATTTTGAAATTGCAGAATTGAAAATTGTAAATTGCATTTGGCTCACAATTGGATTTGCAGTGGAAATTCAAAGTTTCCAAAGTCTCCCAACCTACAAGATTTTAAACCGTTCATCCTCCAAATTATGGTTTTGAAATTCGGAATTAAATCCCAAAACATTCTGACGGCCGGTTGCAGGAAAGCGAATTATAATCAAAATCCTACATTATTTGCCAAATCTGAGTTTAAACAAGAATTTTAACATTTGATTGGCTGCCTACTGCAATATAAAGCCAATCAAATGTCTTAATACCGGATTAAACAATAATCCTGGATTATTTTTTTGTGCAACTGTGCAACTGTTTGCTTTGAACATTGGAAATGTTTATGTTCGGGTATGGGTAGTACAAAGTTTTGAGTTTCGTTCAAGGTCAAAAGACAACGGTGTCGCTTCAAGTGACCAATTTTAACATAGTCGGCCGTGATCATTAGGTGACGGAATTACGGATTACGAGCACGTTATGACGCTCATTATCCAGAACGTTTTGCGACACGAGCGAGCTTGCGAGCGGGTGGAGCAAGTGAATCAGGAGTTGTACATATGGCGTTGTACTGTTGTCATTTCCAATGTCTCTGACGGTTGCAAGGATTGCGTAATCTCTGAATTTGTTAATTGCAATCAAAAATTTTCCCTTTCAATATTTCAATTTCAGTCTTCATGTTACAAATTTACAAATTCAAAGCTGTGAATGGTTTGCAAGTTTCACTTTTTAATTCTGCTTGATTTCTTATATACGAACTTGATGCCCCCAATTTTAAAATTAAGGATTTCAAGTTGAAATTCGAAGCTGCCATGGTCTTCTAAGCGGTTTGTTTCACGATCGAGGCTTGAAACACTTGTTCTGTATCTTCTGCCCTGAAAATTCTGGAACTTTTGGTTTTAATTTTAAACTCCACGCTTTCAATTTTTCAAATATTCGCTTGTAGAGACCTACAGGGTGTTCTCCCTTAATGTGAACCAACAAAATTGAAACAGGTACACTAAATTGTGTAGGAAAAAATTTTCAAATTTTCTCTTGTTTTTTTTGTACACGTGGTAGAGACGAATAAGCCCAAATTCGGGGTGTTTCTACAGTATTAATTTTGAATCTTGTGATTGATCTTGAATCGATACATACCATCGCTTTGGAGGAAATTCAACGCTAACCAGAAAGTCCAATATACATCGCCTGTATTAAAAAGCAGTGTGATCTTTTAATTTACACTATGGTGGTACATTTTTAGGTAACCCAAAAACTTCAAATGATATGGATGTAGTGAAGAACATGGTTTAGTAATAAAAAGAGCTTTCACTCAAACAATATTGGTAGATAAAGACTCGAGGTAGCGACACTAACAGTGTTGATAGTGTTTCTATCATCATTCTCTAATTTTTGCTGCATCAAAACTCTCCATAGCTCAAATGTAATTGCTTACTGTCCAGTCAATAAATTACCCAGATTTGAAGACACCTGTTTGGTGTCATTAGTAACGATCGTGTTGTAGTGTTCAGACTCAGTACCTATTAATAAATGCAACGTATATTAGTGATTAATGGACGGCGCGCAAAGAAGTACATTATGTCGAATACGGAACAAATTAAACTTAGTAAAATTACTAAACGCCATCATTAATCTTTCAGTATACACTGATCACGAGTTTTGTTATGGACTTATAAGTAAAAGTTAAACAGGGTTTTAGGAAATTAATTCAACCATGAAGTGAGCTTATTGGCGAGTATCGACCCCTTTATGTTATAATAAATCTACTATACGCGAACGGGTGTTCGTCTTTATCACATTATAAATGTAGCATTATTTTCATTTTCCGGAAAATTTTTAACGATAAAGATACTTCCTGTTTGGAGCAGGTTTTTCCGACGTTCCCATTCACGGGAGCTTTTTGCTTATCGTTTATTTTATTACTGATCACTATTTTGTTTTTTGCAGCAACTAAGGGCACCTTTTAATTTTTTTTAGTGTGATCAATACAATTTTTAACTAAATGGCACAATTCGCATTAAATAAATGGAACGGATAACGTGTACCTAGATACGAGATTTTAAGCTTTTGAGGTAAAGCGGGCACGTTAGAGCTACAATTACAAAACCATACCTGTCACTGTCTACTGTCATCTCTGACATTCTCTCAAAAACTTCCATGAAATGGAAACGTTCAACTTTGCGATTTTCCTGCTTCATTAACTTAAAGCTGAGTTGAATTTCAAATTATGCGAAAGTTGGTTTCGCTTTACATGCAGGAATTCAAAGGGAAATTTTAATCCCTGGACTCATTATGTGTTTTAACGTTATTTTCTTTTTCCTCCCCCAAAGCCGTTACCTCAGAAGTTCAATCTCCCGAACTCTTAATTAGGTGTAAGAACCCAAATCGAACGGTTTCGAACCCCGTAATGAAATTATAATTCGCGATCCACGTGTTTCGCGCAAAAGTTTATATTTTAAACTCGCGGAAAGTTTAAACGTAACAGCTGTCTATATCTCCACTTAAAGAAC